CCCAGAGATCCAGCTTATCCGGATCCCTCTGAAGGGCCTCCCTCCCCTCAGGCAGATCCACACCACTCCCAGCTTGGTGTCATCTGCGAACGTACTCAGGGTACACTCAATCCCTTCATCTAAGTCGGCAATAAAGATATGAAGCAGGATGGGCCCCAGCACCGACCCCTGGGGGACAGACACCACTTGAAACGGGTCTCCAGCTGGATTAACTCCATTGACCACCACCCGCTGAGCACGGCCCTCCAGCCAGTTCCTTATCCAACGGGGGGTAAAACTGTCCAAGCCATGGGCAGCCAGTTTCCACAGAAGGATACTGTGAGAGACCGTGTCAAAGGCTTTGCCGAAGTCTAGGTAGACTGCATCGACAGCCTTTCCCTCATCTATCAGTCTGGTCACCCAGTTGTAGAAGGAGATGAGGTTGGTCGAGCATGACCTGCCTTTCATGAACCCGTGCTGGCTGGGCCTGTTCCCCTGGACACCACGCACATGCCGTGCGATCTCACCCAAGATGATTTGCTCCATTACTTTCCCTGGTACCGAGGACAGGCTGAGAGGCCTATAGTTCGCCGGATCCTCCCTACAGCCCTTCTTGAAGATGGGAGTCACATCAGCAAGCCTCCAATCCTCTGGGACCTCTCCAGTTAACCAGGAGCGCTGATAATAGCCGAGAGCGGCTCAGCAGTCAGCTCCGTCAGCTCCCTCAGCAGCCAAGGGTGCAGCCATCCAGTCCCATGGACTTGTGACAGTCCAGATGGAGGAGGCGCTCTCTGACTGTCTCCACCTGAATCGCTGGGGGTGCTTTCTGAGTAGTGTCCCAGACTTCCAGATCAGGACATAAAAAGCCCAAAGGATAACTGGTCTGGCTATTAAAGGCAGATGTAAAGAAGGCTTTGAGGACCTCAGCCTTCTCCTTGTCCTCAGTGGCCACATTCCCTGCTGCATCAAGTAAAGGATGAGGATTGTCCTTGGTTCTTCTTTTGCCGCTGATATATTTAGAAAAGGATTTTTTATTGTCTTTTACTGCAGTGGCCAATCTGAGTTCAAGTTTGCCTTCCTAACGTCCTCCCTGCATATCTTAGCTACTTCCTTGTAATCTCCCCAACTAGTTTCTCCCTTCTTCCAGAGGACATAGACTCTCTTTTTCTCCGAGTCTCAACAGTAGTTCCTGGCTCATCCACACCGGTCGTCTCCCCCTGCGGCTCGTCTTACGGCACTCAGGACAGCCTGTTCTTGTGCCTTTAAGATTTCCGTCTTGAGGAGTGTCCAGGCTTCCTGGACCCCTTTACCCTTAAGAAGCGACTCCCAAGGAACCCGTGCTGCAAGCGCCCTGAACAGATCAAAGTCCACCCTCTGGAAGTTCAAGAAAGTAGTTTTGCTGGTCACTCTTTTGACACCTCCAAGAATAGAGAATTGTACAGTTCCATGGTCGCTCTGCCCAAGATGGTCCCCAGCCTTCACTTCTCCCACCAGTCCTTCTCTGTTAGCAAAGATCAGGTCTAGCAGGGCACCACCCCTGGTAGGTTCTCCTACCAGTTGCATGCGGAAGCTATCTTCCATGCACTCTAGAAACCTCCTGGACTGCTTCCTCTGTGCTGTATTATACTTCCAACATATGTCAGAGAAGTTGAAGTCTCCCATGAGAACAAATGCCACAGAGCAGAGCTGCACGGATGGGAGCCAGCAGGCTGCTTCGGGACAACGTTGTATCCACTCTCATTCACTTTCACTTTCACTTCTGCTCTGACTCATTGCCATTTCCCGGAATGGGAGGAAAACGGCTTGAAGCCGCAGGGTATAAACAACCCCATAGCCCAGTGCTGCAGAGTCCTGCTGTGGTGAGTGGCCGGGGCTGGGTGTAAGTAGGGGGCTGCAGAGGGAGGGCAGAGGGAGCCTTGCTCGGGGGGTTGAGGGGGGCACATCCGTGCTCGATGGAATAGGGAAGAAAAACCTCACCTGAGGAAACTCTTGGGGACAGGAAGGGGAATGGAGGGGTGCAGAGGGGTGATGCTGGGGCTGTGAGGACCCAACGCGGGGTGGGGAAGGGATGCACCTCTTTGCACAGCACCAAAGCCGCCCCTTATTGCCTGCTGTGCTGCCGCAGGCTGAGAAGGCACAGGGGTACGGAGGGCTGAGCCGGGTTCGGTGCATTCAGTGACCGTTGGTGCCTGGTGAGGTGGGTGCATGGAGCTCTGCTCTGCATTGCTGATTGTTCAGCAATCATCGCTGGGTGATGCTCGGCAAAGCAAGCACAGCCCTGAGCAGAAGTGCAGCACTGTGCATGAGGCTGCCAGACCCCTTCCTCCCCTCCCTGAATAACTCCAACCTCCCCCCACCCCACCCCAAGTTCCCACCAAACCGTCCCAAC